TAACAGTGAATTAAAATGTGAAGCAAACTGAATTCCTCCCTCATCATGCAAAGTGCTATCCCATTTTGGGGCTGTTGTTTTTCTAGGCTGAGAGATAGGAAGTAATGCAAGGTTATTCATTGTCAGGTTTGGTCTGTGAGCAGCAGTCTGAGCTGAGCCTAGTGACAGTGGCCAGAAACCACAGCACAAACCAGGAGACAGGAGTGTGGACCAAATAAAGCCCAAACTCAAGGGTGAGGGAGGAGCAGACAGGAGGGCTGCAGAATAACCAAGGAAAGAGGAAGGCTCAGGAAGATCATGTTACTAGACTCAGCTGGAACACAAAACCCTCTTATACCCCTTGTCCAGGTAGATCCAATCACCTGCCTAGGTGGTAGTAGGAGTCAGTCCAGAGCATGAAGGTATTTCAGTGAGAAGCTGCCACCTGCAATTCTGTGGTTCATCAAATGGGGCAACTGGCCATGGGCATGCTAGCAGCTGGACCTGATGGGAGTTGTAAACTAGCAACATCCAGAAGGTAACAGGTTCCAAATCCTTGTGTTAGGAAAAAAAATCAGTACAAAGTCCCCATTCTATTCATATTTTTCATAGCTTTTTAAAAGGCTTGTTTCCCAGGGCAGGATACTTGGAAGGAAGGATGCAATGATGGTTTTTATTTCCTGGAAGAAAAATAAATGTGTATATGTTACGATGTGAATATGATAAGGGCACTGAATTAAGCAAACGAATAAAGGTGTACAATGGGGGGAACTATTTTGAGTTGTTTTCATTTTTTAAAGCCACATTCATCATCTTTTGTTTTTGTTTGACTTCATTTTTGTTTTGCCACTGATTTCAATGGAGGCCCATCCTTGTCTCCTGCTTCTTGATAACGTTTGCATTTTCCATTCAAATGGCACGAATTTTTCAGGCCTTCTGCTGTTCCCCCTCCCCAATCTCAGCCAGGCCATCAGAACTATTAAATTCCAGACAGATGGAACAAAAGGTCCTCATGTAAAATGAAGGTGAAAGGGAAAAGAACCACAAGTGAATGTAACCACATGTTGTTTCTCATTCATTCTTGAAAATGAATGCACACTAAAAGAATAGCATCCTGGACATTTTATTGCAGTTCCATGGTGGGAAATGCAACACTTTGTTGCACATTGAGGCTGGCCCTTTGAGCAATAGCTGGCACCTGCTCAATAGCAGACCTGTCAGTCTTTTGAATGGGAAGCTGTGATGAGCTGTAACAAATTGGTCAGGATTCTCAATGGGTAACTAGATGAGTAATGGACAGTCAGTGCTGTAAATAAGAAGCATGCACAATTAAACAATTTCCCTTGCCCCCACGATCCAGAAGAGCATGTTAAATTTGTTTAAAAGGGTTGGATGTGCACACATACACTTATGCTTTTAAAATTAATCCATGTGCCTTTAGGACAGAGATAGGGGAACCTATTGCCCTCCATATGTTGCTGAACTACAACTCCCATCATCTCGACCATTGGTCAGACTGAGTGGGTCGGGTTGGAGATAGAGTCCAACAACACCTACAAGGCCACAGGTTCCTTCCTCACCACTGCTTTAAAAGGAAGGTAGATATTGCAAAGTAATGCTACCATCTGAAATTACATGCAAATGAACAACTAAAAAAACACACCTGTCCATGCAGATATTGCAGCCTGTTTCAGCAGACCCAAAAAATGATGCCACTTTCTGACCATGTGGAAGCATCTGGAGAAATGACATGTGAAAGGCCAGCTCCATCAGGTCTTCTCTCTCGCACCTTTCACCAGGGAGCAGTCATTTAATCAGACTGCATCAGTGGAAGAGATGGGAAGCAAGATTCATTTCATCAGCTTTGCCAAAAGACCTACTCCATGAGGCACCTCCTACTCCTGAACGGTGTCACCTGGGCATTTATAAGAACACCTGTTTAAGAATTGGTGCCAGAGTTTGATTCCCTTACCCCATCCCTCATCCCTCTGTCATTTCCCCCTTGTCTTTTTTATTGTAAACTTTTTATATTGTAAGCTAGCAGACAAGGACTGTCTTGTTTTAATTGAGTGGTGTACAAATGCAAATAATATTAATAATAAGTAGAGTTTGACACGTCACAAATTTGTCTTTGCCATCTTTGGGGGTGGAACTTTCTTCTGTGCCCCTTCAGGATTGTTATCAAGGAGAAGAGAAAAGCAGAGCATTTGAGTAGAGGGTTTTTGTGGGTTATTTTAATGGTCCCTTCTGAGATATAAACTGCTTTCTAAGTGAATCAGCAGCTCTGAGTTCCCACAATCCTTTAATCCCCAGAGTAAGATCCCCCACTATCTCTCCAGTACAAGACACATTATTAATGGATTATGTTTGCTGCAGGTAAAGGTCATTTTTTAATGCTTTTAATGATTTAAACCTGGATCTTCCTTTTTGGATTTACTGTATTCAAGTGGGCCAGCTGTGAAATCCCCACTGAATAATTAATTTTTATTCAAAGGGTGGAGATGCCACCCTTTCTTAATTCTCCAGCAGAACCACTTGGAACAAAAAATACAGTATATGTCACAGCCAATTTACCCCCTTTCCCAACAAATGCTCCACAGATAACAGTGTTGGAGAATTCAGTTTGGTCAAGACTATAGACAGATAGCGTTGGAATAACTAAACCAGAAGACTGATAAGTAAACCAATTTCAAAATGATGTATTTTTAAAACATGATTGTGAACATGCTCCTTTATTTTGCAAAAGTCTTCTCTCCCCCCCACTCCTCTCTTTCTGCTCTTCTATAGCAGATGTTTATGGACAATAGGATCAGCATTTATAGACTTTGATTGCTTGTGGCTCTTCCAAGCCCTTGGAATCTGTGTCCCATGGACACCAATAGCAGATGTGCTGCTCTTCTGATGCTCTAGCTTCACTGCTGCCCACAAGGACCAAGAGTGGGGTGGTGGAGTGAGGTTAGTGCAATGCAAATGCACCACCAGAGACAATCGTACACTCTTCCCAGCGCATTTGCAACAAACTCACCTCTCTACCACCTCACCCCTCCCTTTCCCCCTCTCTTTTTAAAATTTCATTTATGCTTTTCAGGTTTATACATTTCACTAATTTTACAATCATTTTCACATTTCAAAACTTGACTTCCTTCCCCCTCTTTCTGTGGTTCCTTAAATTTATTTTTAATATCTTCTGCATATCCAAATTAACTTAATTTGCTCATTTATTCATCTACCTTAAATGTACACACTTATAAAACTGCAGGTTATTACAATAATCCTGCCAATGTTCTTATCTGTTTACAGTTTATCTGTAAATATTCAATAAAACATTTTCATTCTTTTATAAAAAGTCTGTTATCTTGATTTCTTATTCTTCTGGTAAGTTTCACCATTTCTGCATATTCTCCATAAGTTTTTGTATCCATGCTTCCTTTGCTGGGACTTCTGCATCTTTTGATTTTGGGGCAAGTAACATTCTTGCCGCTGTAGTAGCATACATGAATAAGTTTCTATACACTTTCAGTAGTCCCCTCCCTTTCCCTATCCCAGAATGCAGCAGGGAATCAGTGAAAGGAAGGTCAGGTGAGTGGTGTAGCCCCACCATGCTGTCTGCTACTGGCGGACAGTATAACTGCATTCACCACATACACTATGATACCACTTTGAATAGTCATATAATATCCAAATAATTCTGGGACATTATAATCTTTTAAGGGTGCTGAGACCCCTGCCCCCCCCCAGCAACAATTCCATGAGTTTGCTGGGAAGAGGGTTTGCCTGTTAAACCACTCTAGAAACTGTAGCTCTATGTGAGGAATAAAGGGTCTCCCATACCTTCCAACATTCCTCTGATGAAAAGTGGTGCTGTGCTCCCATGTGAGCCAGCTGAGAGCACAGCACCACTGAAAGTAGACATGGCTAGGGTGTCTCTGGGAAGCCCTGTCTGAATAAAACCAGACCCATATAGTGGTACTGTATTTTTCCGTGTATTAGACGAGGTTTTTTTACTAAAAAATCATGTAAAAAACCTGGGGTTGTCCAATACACAGATAGTGGCATGGTTTGCGAGAGTGCAACTCCCCCAATGCTGCTGAGCACGGGAAATGATCTAGGCAGTGTTTCCTGCCCACAGCTGGGGGGGGGGGGAGAAGCTCAACAACTTTGGGCCATCTCCCCTCATTTTCTTAAAATTGAGTCCCCCAAAATAGGGGTGGGTGTCTTATACATGGGGGCATCTTATAGACGGAAAAATACAGTAATTGTAAAGGAGTCCAAGTGTCTTTGTTTTAAAAATGTTTTAAACATTGCATTTTACTTATTGTAACTCACCCTGGGACCTTGGGGTGAAGCACAGGTAATCAGTTGTAACAGTAATAAGAGTAGGTGTTGCCACACTAAAGGCCCTGTTCTGTGCTGCCATGTAGGAACCCCCCCCCCCCCCCCGGGCTCATGGCAGCCTCAACAGAGCCTCCCATTATGACTGCAGTGACCAACTCAGGGTATGTGAAATAAGGTGGTTTCTCAAGGACATTGATCTTTCTATAACAAGGAGCTTTTTTACTAACTCTGAAGCCTTAAACCTGGCCTGTCACCATATTGACAGCCAGCACAGATCCATCAGTGAAGTTGTGATCCAGTGTGTTCTGAGATGTTCCTTGCTTCTGTCCCCTGGTTCCTGGCTCCACTATTTACTGCTCAGCCATGACCCTATAGAATCACAGAATTGCAAAGTTGGAAGGGTCATCTAGCAAACTTTTTTCAGCAGGGAGCCAGTCCACTGTCCCTCAGACCTTGTGGGGGGCCAGATTATATTTTTTTGGGGGGGGGGAATGAACGAATTCCTATGCCCCACAAATAACCCAGAGATGCATTTTAAATAAAAGGACACATTCTACTCATGTGAAAACACGCTGATTCCCAGACTGTCCGTGGGCCAGATTTAGAAGGCGATTGGGACGGATCCAGCCCCCAGGCCTTAGTTTGCCTACCCATGAACTAGTCCAACCCCCTGCAATGCAGGAATCTTTTGCCCAATGTCGGGCTTGAACCAGCCACCCTGAGATTAAGTGTCTCATGCTCTCCCAACTGAGCTTGCACTTTAGTCTTCCTAAAGTATACCTGTTTACTACAAATTCAAGTTTGTATCGAAGCACTGGGCTTTGGACTTCACTGAATCTTCCCCTATTCTACCTGATGGGAGACTGTCCAGAGTTTGTCAGTCATAATTTGCTGCCCTGAGGTTGGACAGCAATCCCAAGATAGAAAGAGAACAAAGCATGTGTTATGGACAATCACCATAGGAGATGTGAGCCTGTAGCCCTTCTCAAAGTTGCTGGACTCACGCGAGCTCTACTCAGCATGACCAGTGGCCAGGGTTGATGGAAGCTATAGTCAAACAACATCTGGAGATCCACAGGTTCTGCATCCCTGCTGTGAAATAAACAGGCTCATTCCTATTATATGCAGGAGTGCTAGTTCTCCCTGGAATACAGGGAGTATAAATTTAAATGCTCTGACTGTGGTCAGTCTGTAGCATTGAACAGGGGCTGGACCAATTTCACCCCCTTCTCCATCAACATGCTCTTGGCAGGAGAGAGGGTGATAATCTCCCTTTCTTTGCCTGATGGAATCTTTAGCTAATAAATAATCATTAACAACATTTTTATAGCTTCTTTTTAAAAGGCTCTTTATTGCGTTGAGAATTCGGGAGGATATATGTTAGTCCTCGCTTCCAGCTCCCCTTGTCTCCTTTCTCTCAGCCACCATTTCTTCCTCCCCCAACCCATCAACAATTACAAAGCTTCCTAGCATTAGCCAAGTCCCCATCTCAGAAAACCATATTGCCTGCTTTATTAATAATAAAGATATAGAAAATTAAAGTAATACATCATTAGGGGCCCATAGCTCTGATGGAGTGTGGCTACAATGCGTCATCCGGGAGGCTGGAAGCAGGCTTCAGAATCCCAAGGAGACAGGCCTGTCCATTATGTAGGGGTGTAAATCTTTACATCTAGCCCCCATGTGCATGCTTGGGTGTTGCTGAAGAAGGAATGGAAGTCTGAGGTAGTGGGAAATGAATTTTGCAGGCAGGAAGCAGATACGGCACAATCAAGTTGCCGTTGCAGAGATACGAGACCCTTAGGGTAACTCATGCTGCTGTACAGCTTGAACTTGCCACAATGCTTAAAAGAATCATGAATGGATGCCTCAATAAGATGCTTCCATAGTCAGGGTTAAGTGACTGTTGGCCAAACCAGGGCATTCATTTAAACTTAGAGAATGAATATCATGATTTCCCACTAGCTTAGCAAAACCCCCCACACATTTGGTGGAGCAGATAAGGGCTCCAGCAAGGTAGTAGTTGTGTGGTGATTATCATCACAACTTAGGGGAAGGGGTGGCTTGATAGCTCAAGGCTTGCACTTACAGCAAATTGTGTTTGGGGTGTTTTGTTTCAGATCTGCAGTGATATACACTGCTGCTTGTGTTTTTGTATGCACAATTCTGCCAGTAGGACATACAATTCAAAACAGTGGTCCTTATCTGTGTTTGCTGCCATGCTTTCAGATTGGGAATATGATTAGATAGCTAGATAGCTAGATAGATGATAGATAGATAGACAGACAGACAGGTGGAGCAGCAATGATTTAGTGCAGCAATGATTTTGTTCAGAACTGTGAAAACTGCACACATACCCCATTTATGTGGGGGTTACATTTCAATGCACCACAAGAGTCAGTGTAATCGCATATATTTGAAACACCACTGGGAAAAAACCCTACATAAACATCTTGTTCTGTCCCTACCCAATTCTGCCCCTTTTGTGACTTTTGGGGTCACTTCCAGGTTTGGCGTAATGTGCGTGTACGTGGTCACACACATATTGAATTTGCCTAAATTCAGGTGGGGTGTTGCCTGTATTTACTCTTCTGTAGAGAGCAGGGCAATCCAAACCCTCAACTTGCCACTCTGGGGCGGAGGTGTTGGATGAAGTGGAAGGGTCCCTATGCCCAGCTCTGCCTGGGTGCAGATTGCTCATATAGGTCTGCCATCAAAGTGCTCCCTGCTTCACTTACCTAAATTGCAAGTGGGTGGAAGCTACTGTTGATGATATCCCTGCAAATGGCAACCAGCTTTTCTGGATCAAAGATAAAATGATTATGGGAGTGGAGCTGGGCCAGCCCAGGAACTGCTGAATCTTAATTTGGTCAGGCCTAATATGGCTTCTCTGTTGATGCAGAAAACAAGCCCCACCTTCTACACTGACTGGTGAGTCCCTGGATGCATGACCATATTTTAAGCAAGCAGGAAGATGTAAATATTTGGGAACAGATTTTGCATACTGCCAATCAAACATGTAAACCGGATCATGGAGGCTTAACAGGAATTACACCTGAAGCCAAGCCTGAATTTAGCACACCAAAGAAATGGTATCTGGTTAAGAAACCAAACTGCTGTTTCTTCCTCTTCCTCTTCTCATGACTATTTCTGGAAATAAGGTAAGCAAATTGAGTTTGGCCAGCTTAAAGCTGGGCATGTAGTAGTTCTGTTTCTGCCTCCGATTCCCTCTGCCCCCCAAAGCTATTTCGTTTGTATATTTCAAACTGTGACGGATTACACTCCAGGGAAAGCCAAGATTTTGTTAAACCCTCTCAACATAAATAACAATTAAAAGCCATGTTTTGACTTGAAGGCACTTGTTGCTAAATATTGTTTGGAGAATCTCATTTAAAGGCTGGGCTCGGGCATCCAGGAAGCCAACACAAAAGTAAGAAACATTTTCCGCTCCTTTCAGGCTTTCACGATGGGCTTTTCAGTATCAAGTAAAAGGCTTGGGGGGGGGGACCTGGCTCTTAAAACAAAATTTACATCTGGAGACAAATTTTACTGGTTCAAATGTTTCCCCCCCCCCTTATTCAGAACAGTTCTTTCCCACTCAGTTGAAACATTTGACGATAGGTTACAAAATATTTTATCTTATTTGCTTCCTCTATAAGCAACCTCATGCCCTCCCAAACACCAATCAGCCTCAGTCAATGAGTTAGAGTCCAAAAGATCTGGAAGGGGAAGACTTCTCTATACCATCATTTCTAATGTAAAAACTTTGAAGCCAGATACAGTAATGCCCACATGGTCACTGTCACCAGTTTCTAATAGAAGGGCAGCCATGGGAAGCCTATTATGCCAGTGCTCTGAACTGACTGCTATTCACCTGCTTGGTGCAATTTTAAGGGACCTACAATCCTGATATTTTGTCATCTACTGAAAATGTTTCTGTTTCGCCAAGTATTTAATTGTTCTTCGATAATAAATTAGATAATTCTTACTCAGTTAATTATTCTTAGATAGTGAATTTGAATCGGTGTTGGTCATTTTTTCTGTACTTTATGATTTTATTATGTTTTAATGACTTCATTGCACACTGCCTCAATACTGAAATGCGTTGATAAATAAATGACTTGAAAAATAGTATTATATTTGGAAAATTGCTTGCAAAAATGCATATATTAGGAGAAATATGCACAATTTTTTTAGGGGCAAGGGTAGGGGGTTCATAAAGTGATTAAGAAATGAGGTGAATGGAACTCACCTCATGGGGAGAAATGAGAAAATGAAACAAACAAGTATGCTTAGTGACTGTCCATCTTCCCCTGGCAACTTGCCAAGCCTTTGCATGCTCCAAAAGCAGTGTACATTCAAACTGATTTCAGTCAAGTCTGGTATTAAGGAGCAATGAGGGTGCAAGGTAGGAAGCCAATTGCTCCTTACTTTAAACAGCTACCCTGTTCTCATGACTGTAATTTGCTTTAAGCTGCTTTTAATATTGCACTTCAAATTCTTGTGATCTGCCCTGGGACCTGAGGGTGCAGTGTGAGTTATGCATTGAAGAAGAAGAAGAAGAAGAAGAAGAAGAAGAAGAAGAAGAAGAAGAAGAAGAAGATTGGGGAGGGGAATCAAGCATTAGTGGGAAAACAAAGGTGGACTCTGGGTAAATTCATATTAAGAGTGTCATTTAAAAAAATCATCATGATTATGCACTGTCAGCATGGAGAGAAATAAATTATAGCTCAGGGAAGTGAGGAGATCTTGCTCGGAGTCTTGGCAAGGGAAGACCTGGAATTTTGCCTAATGCAAAAGTCTCATGAAAGTGGAGCCCGATTTCTCAGCATCCCTGAAACAGCTTGTTTATGGACAGTGCCAGCACAATTTCAATTTAATGCTATGATGAGCATTAAAGCAGAAGAAGAGGCCTGCCGGATCAGACCAAGAACCCATCTAATTCAGCATCTGTTTTCCAGCAGTGGCCAAACAGATGCATTTTCTCGGGAGCTCACAAGCAGAGCATGAAGGCAAATGGTCCCACTCTGCCCGTGTTTTTCCCTGGCAGGTGGCACTCAGATGTACATTGCTTAGAAACTATCACATTCTGGTCCGATGACAGAACCTATGGAGAAAACAGCAAGGCTGGTTGCAAAGATGGTCAAAGGTTATCAGCCCATTGATAGCTCCATGTGAGCAATTTGCTCCAACAAAGTTTGCAAGAGCTACTCTTTGGATTTCAAAAATTGGCACCTGAATTTGTTTCCACTCATCTTCCCTCCTTGTCTCTTTTTTTCTTTTTGTGTTTTGTCTTTTTGATTGTAAGTCAACAGCCCAGGGACTATCTTACTTTAATTTATTGCATTTTTATTATTTATTTATTTTTGCTGAAGGGCAAGGTATAAATGTGACTGACAAACAAACAAACAAACATCTGTTACCCTCACCCCCTAAAGTCTGAAATACCATGATCAGACTAATATAGCTCCAGAGAAACTGGAAAACATCAAGAATTAAGGGGAGAAGCTCCCCTATTAGATGGCAGTCTTTCCAGCCAAGTAAAATCCTAGTCTCTCTTCCTTGCAATGAACCACTAACACTTCTTTCCCCTGCCTTTGTAACACCTCACCTGTTTCACTCAAGAAGGAACCTCCAGATTCCACTAAGCACTGCGCTTTAGCTGAAGGTTCATGGCAGTCCTACCTGACCTGTCCTGGCCTCCGCACTTTTGAGGAAAATCATGTATTGCAATCGTGTGTGCAATACTCTCACATTT